TTGTTTCAATAACAATGATTAGTGTTAAGCAGTTTGTTCCCTGCTAGAGTTTTCCCTAACAGCTTTACAATAACATTTAGCTTTTAAGTGTGTCCTTTGAATAAGGGTGTCAGATTCACTAAGAAGCTCGGTGTCCCTTTCCTAACTACTGTAACAAAATGCACCTGGGAAGATTGCGAATGGCACAAATTCATTACAGTAATAAATATAATCTTGCCTTAGAGAGTTCTCGATTTCTAAACTTTTTTTTAAATTTGTTTTGAGGAGGGAGTACTTTTATAGTTTGGTTACACTGCAAAGGTTTTTTTTCTTTTACCAAAATATTTTCAAATAGTAATAGTTAATTACTGATGTTTGAAGATTAAGTCAATTGCAAATGAGGCGCATCCCACATGGACCCCAGTGCTCCGTTATGTATATGCATTATGTGCAGCACCCTTCTGTTTTTCATTAAATAAGATGTTTATAACGGAGAGGACGAAGTATGAATAATTACCAAAAGGAAGCTCATGCCTACGAATCATATTTGTGTCTTATGTGTTCAGTCCAAACAAATGTAAGCCACAGCTCCCAGGGTTCAATCAAACATATCAATATTCAGCTGATAATTCCTTTAATCTGTGGCCAAGAGATCCTTCCATCACTCCAACACTGCCAAAGAAATCCACGGATGATAAGGAAATATGAAGTAAATAGATCATAATGAATTCAAATAGGCCTTTCCATTCATAATACAGTAGCCTGCCTCGTTATAAGAGCTGACCTTCTTGGATGGAAACAAAGGAAAAGTGGAAAGATGATGTGGCAATGTCATTCCAGATTCAAACAGAATCTAATCATGAACTGGTTGATGCAATTGATTTGCCCTTTGGGGAGCATAGATAATTCATACTATAGGCTAAATAAAAACAGCATTTCTGTAGCGCTGTATAAGTATACAGGTACCTCTTATAAGGATAGCTGATCCCCCGATTCTCAACATCAAACCACTCATCAGACTTTGCCCACCGTTTGTAACCATCTCATTAATGCTTCAACACAATGCTCAAAAGTCGAACAATGATGTCAAAAATTCATTTTGACCAAACTTCTCTTAATCAATTGGGCAATTTTATTTGCACTTAATCTATGGCAGGGTGTCTGGACAAAGAAAAACATTTTTATTGGAAGAGTGACAGGTAGGGGGTGTGTTATTTTTTTTGCTCAAAGGTGTTTAAATTGAAACATATATAATAAATGGCATTTGCAATAACCCACGGAGCGCTGAGATTATCAAATTCAGTCTCATCTCGAAACTACATTATTGATCCAGCTGTTCATCGCCAAACTGCATAACAGTGAAATGTGTCAAAGTGTGATCATGTTGAAGAGACTAAACACTGTTCATGTTTGTAACTTTATGGCAGACTGTAGCCAAAAGGTCAAACACACACATGGGGTTCTCGGCAAAGGGATCTATCCAGTAAGAAACCCCTGTGTGTCTGTGATGGATCCCTCTGGAGACGCCACGAAAGGCTTCTTTTGAACTCAGCCGGCTACAAAGAGAGACCCACCTACTTCAAGTCCTGATTCCATGAGGGCTCAGCACCAGAGACGCCTACTCCCCATTCATTCACATACAGGCCCCCAGGACTCCATTCAGTGCCGCGCACCCTGTCTGGGGACACAACTGAAGCAACATTGAACTAAAAATATTGAATCAATAAACTCCTGCTGGCTGGGTAATCTGTAAAGTGAAACATAACAGCTCATTAGGCGTGTAAGTAGATAATCACACAATGAGGAACAGTCACAACAAACTGAAATACATTGCTGTAATAAAAACATAAAATCAGTATCAAACATGGTGGTATTATACATATCAACTTACATTTTTAATATAGTGAAATTGAATACAAAAAATATATAATTTGCTGAGATTCTTTTTACCAACAAATGACACAAAATCAAACCTGCCAAAGGGCCAACGGTCGAACCTCTGAGGATTTGCGCCAAGCAGCTTCTTCTTAATGCACATGAAGCTGTGTTCCATCTGACAGACAGAGAAATCCCCCAGGAGCCCCACTGCCTGACTGGATGTTCCATGATCTACTCTTTACTTAATGAGGTGTCATGTACAGTTTATATAAAAGGTATGACCTTATTAAACTGGGAGGGAAAGGGTGAAGATAAATGGCAAAGCTGTACAGAAACTCACATTGCCTCAGTGGAACAAGAGGCTCTCAATGTGATTGTTCAAAGACGTGTAATTGACGTGTGGCTTTAAATGGTGCTTCAGGATAAAACAAAGGCAATATTAGAAATATGACATTTTCTTAAAACTGATTTTATTTAAGCGAAACAAATCCTACCAAGTGCAGCTCTACAGCAATTAGTAAGAAGGCCTACAAATAACAGATTCAAAGTGTAAATGCTTATCAAATATAGAAACAAACCAATCAAATTAAAATGTTAAGTGCAACGGTTGGTTCTTTCGAATGTGAGCAGGACAGATTCATGGAAGTCATAATTGAAACTAAATGTAGCTTTAAACGCAGAAGGTAAAATATTATTTAAATCAAACTGTTCTCCTGAGACTGCTCCTAGCTTTCCAAACCCCGTTCTTGTTATTCTATTCCTTTAACTTGATTTCTGACAGCCAATTCAATTAGGCTGGATATGTGTGGGTGTAAAAAAGGCAACATGACAAACTCAGAAGATGGATGGCAACCTTTGCTTCACCATTAAAATCACAATTGCGTCGTATTGAAGCTCGATCCATCGTCGTATTACCAGCGGCAGCAAAATGAACACCCCGCCAGACAGGGTTGTAACTAATCAGCCATTGCAGTTCAGATGTTTTTGAAAAGGATCTGCATGCTAGATGGTCCTTTTTGGCTCCCATTTGGTAAACAGTTAATCAAGCCTTCTTAAAAAAAAGTAAAGGCAGTATTTAAGGTTGGTTTTGTTTTATCGCAGATTAGGCATGGTGACTCATCAGCCACCTGGCCCTAACTGCAGTCTGTGGGGACGGGATGTCTGGGCGAGTCCCCGTCGGAGTCATCTGGCGCCGGGGAGGAGTATCGGTAGATGAAGGAGTACAGGCTGATCTCAGGTCGCCGACCGAGGCAGCTCTTGCACACGGAGATGTAGTACTGCTCCAGGAGATCATACACCTCTCCTGTGAGGGAGAAAATATGAGGATTGAAATCATATCACATACAGCATAATGTAGAGTCTGTTTCATTAGATCACATTGTTCACAGCAAAATCCAAAGATGAAACCTTCCAAAGCATATTTAATCCTGTTATAATATCCTTATTGTCGCACTCTTGGTGGTGAAATATTAAAAAGAAGGGACACAGTTTTATGTAAACAGGAAGCAGACGGGTTGTTTTCCTTACCGACACAGATCTTGCTCCGAGTTAGGAAAGAGTGCATCTTGTGGACATCTGTCATGAGTTGGCTGTCACCAAAGGTGAAATAGGCCACATCTCTGCCCGCCTCAGCAGCTGCCAGCATCTGGAGCAGAGCTGAAGGAAAAGAAGCTGCCTGTGTTAATGCTCCACTGTGAGAGAGGCAAAAAACGGGTTCTTTAGAATAAAAAGGATTGAACTTTTAATGCTGTTTTTACATGTTTGTTCAAACATTATCATCTTCTTACTCATAGATATACAGTTGAGTATATATTAACAGAGGTCTAAGCTAATGTTAGTATTTGAAGTGTACGCCACCCGCCTCGGTGGCAGTGACTGTAAAAGGCAATAATCGGGGGAATAGGTCTCACCCCCACTGAGAACTCTGGATTAGTTACAAAGAGAAGCCAGGTCTGGCCCCGTAGAGAGCTGTGAATATTTTAAGAGACTGGAAATATGTCTGCTGATTAATGAGGGTTGGGACAGCGGCAAGTTAACGAGCATAACTGAATCAACATTTTCAGAAGAGAGCTATAAGCGGAATATGCCTACACTTCAGCAGTTTCTGTCCCCGGCTCCGTTTCATCCGCTTTTCCCAAGAATTATCTGACAATTAAAAACTATCTGGCTATCTGAGGCCACAGAAGGCAAACCCAGGAGGAGAACAGCATCCGAATTTCAAAGCTCTTCCCAGGAGGCGTGTTATTAAGCAGACAATAGGTGATGATGCCTATGGAGGGCTTTACCGTGCTACAGCTAATTAACAAATATGTATGTATAGTGTTCAAGCACCGTGGATCAGGCATAAAGTAAGAAGCAGAGATACTAATGCGAACTGTTAGCATTAAGTGTCCTTAGGCTCCCTCTTCAGTGTCCGTGGTACAAGGCTGAGACAGAAAGCTGAAACGGATTGATGGACTCGAGCTGGCGATCAATTTCACTATTAATGAAACATATTAACTTTGTCATTTGATCAATAGAAGGAAGGCGACGAATAGGCTTTAACTAAATGAACGCATTCCCGGAAGACAAATGGATGGCCCACGCTGATCTGCTGGAGCCTTTCAAGCTGAAATATATTCCGTTATATCCAGGAAGAGTGTTCGCTTAGACTGCCAAGTGCATTAAGATGATCTGAGCTTCTTTTTTTTTTAAGGCAGCATTACGTCAGCGCTTACCTTTCAGACGTGTGTCACCTCCAAAAACCCCACAGCCCCAGTTCCCTGTAGCCACTGCCGAGAGGTTTTGGCTTTGTTCTTCAGGGCGAGCAAAGCCACAGTAAGCCTAAATAAAGACAGACAAAATAAATGATAAACAATATATTAGATAAGAAAATGTAAACAATGCAAAAACCCATTTTATATTGTCTTTCATGAGAAAAGAACACTGTAAAAAACGTTTGCTGTGTATGAAATTGTTCACAATTTTCTACACAGTAAACTTCAATGTATTCTACACTGCATAGTGCATTGAGAATTTAGATACCCATGAATCATTATTATTATTATGTAGTGTTGGATAAATGTTATTCAAAAGCAAACATACACTATTGACTTTTCCATGAATGCTGTTTACACTGCATATTTGATATATTCACTTAAACTTTGGGATAAAAAGAAAAAGACAATTCTGTCGTATTTATCACTGCTGTTATTTAATTCTACTGTATGTCTTTTACTGCATTGAGAAAAGCCTACAAAATACTGTGTACCCGAGTATGATATCAATTAAGAAATTAAGATTATGGTACTCAAATAAAGAAAAAAAGATAATGCACTAAGTAGCAAATAGGGACTGATTTCAGATACCGCCAATGCATTATGACAAGCATAGCCCTTCCGTCATCAAAATGGTGACTCTCGGGGGTGACAACACATTAAGTTGTCAATGCAAAATCCACTCTGATGAGCCTCAGGTCTTAGGATCACCTTTTTATTTCAGCTCACTGGTAGAGCCAGTCCTACAGAACGTCTCCTTTATATCAGATATAAATGCAAAGTAATTCCATTTGCCTGCAGGTCTGTGCTTGACACATCAGTTAATGCATGAACACATCAAAGGTTGGTTGGATTGGCTCAACATACATTTTAACATTATGTCATTTGGCTACACCTATTTCCTCAATTCAATTCAAACTGGTGTGAAATTGGCGTAGGTTTGAAAATAATAACCATTGCACATTAAATATACTAAACCAAAGTGCAGCAACATGAGCATTTGACAGGAAGACAGGTCAAATAAAAGATCTGAAGGGGCTCTGGACATTTATTTTCACCATGAAATTAAGTGAATAGTGAAAATGAATTGTGCGAGCCCACCCTCTTCCTGACCAGTCATAAATTGTTCCTGTGAAAGGGCCGATGTGACAGTTAGCTGGACAATATTCGAAACAGGATTGATCTGTATGTTGGTGCATTCTTCACACCCTTGTCAGAGCTGTCAAACTCCTCCATGCCTTCTGATTTGACAACATCTTGATTTTCTTTGAGTGGGCGGACTGCACACATGGAAGATTCCTATTTAAAACAAATCTGTAAATATAATAACTATGGTTCAGTGGCGTAAGGTCAAATATGTTAATGGTAATGAATAGCATTAAGTCTATTCTCTACAAATGTAAAAATCCATCAGTCTCTATTACATACAGTTCAAATATTTACCTAGAGAAGAGTAAACATCAATGTCATCACAGCTGACATTTGTTATGTTACTGTTTCCCAATTATCAACCAAACGGACTGACATTTAACTTGCGGCCTGTAGCACCATCCTTGATGGAGCATATGTGTGGGCTGGAAAGGAGTGAGCAAAGAGTAGAGTAGTTGTCGATTCTGTTTTCTGTGACTATCTGCCTCACCCTCTCAGACTTTCAGTTGCGCGCGCTACTAAAGAGACGTGTTACCATGGAAACCAAACAATGGTGAAGCTGTATTAAGGTCCGAGTGGAAACAGTCCTGAGTAAATCTGATTTTGTAAGAAATCGGGAGAAATACGGGAGAAATATGACCCCGGGAGGAAACCGGGAGAGGGCAATGAAATCGGGAGTCTCCCGCGAAAATCGGGAGGGTTGACAAGTATGGTCTGAGCAAAGCAAATATTAAGTTAACTAGCAAAAAAAGCTAAAAGATAATTGCAGCCATACGCCGTTAAAAAGCCATGACTATGGAAGTTCAGAGTATAACATCAAAGAGCTGCGGTAGATTGCCCATTCACTTCCACTCCCATCAATTATACAAAGAGTGCACACTTTGTATACAAAACCAAAAAAACACTTACAGCAGCACTCATCATAAAGTGACTAAAGTTTCGATGAGCTGACATCTTTTGTTTTTAATTTATTAAAATAGTAACTTTTTATTTTACAAATGCTTTTTTTATATAAATAACAACCTGCTCAGTTTTGTGACATGCAGAGCAGAGACACAAGAAAGACATGATACTGTAAGATATACAATTAAAATAAAACATAAAAACAAAAATGACCTTGTTTAGTTCTCGGTTGAGTCTATCGGGATGAAACTGTTCGAGGAAGTTCTTGAACTGCAGTGCATCGATGGCCACAATCTCTGTGCATCTTCTCTGCCAGCCATCTCTGCCAACAAATAAAGAAAATGGTATAAGGTACAACAGAACAAATATGCTTTAGTCAAATTACGCAATAATATCTTAGAGCTGGACCTATGACAGAAATAGGAAGTTCCCGTAAATAAAGTCTAAAATAAACAGATAAAAAACTAACTTTGTGACATACAAAGACATGTCTGAATTTACATTATGGTAACGGTACTGGATGGTGTGGGAAGTGTTAGGAAATCATACAATTGGATGGCAGTTAATCAAATAGTTGTTGAGGTGTTTCAGTCTACACCAAGGTGATAGAACAATCATAACTGCCCTCCCATGAGCTAACATGGCCATAAACAATGGTTACGTAGCTTTAAAAGTAGCATTTGTTTTAAATAAATAAGGTATTTTAAGGTTTCTAAAGCAGCTAAGTTCAATAAATACCTGGGGGTTGTGTCCTGGTGGCTGCCAGCCCACTTGTAGGTCTGAGCATAGCCGGTGTATTTACTGTACTGCTGTGAACCTGGTAATGACAAACACAGACATTAGTCACACCCCATACAAAGCATTAACACATTCATCTTGATATTTAAACATGCTCAGAATTAAAGAATCCTTCCGGTTGTGTTCAGATAGCAAATCTGAAAGAAAAGCAGGTAAGGTTACTTTCTTAACCGGCACATCAAGATCAGTAGTTACCAATTATAAAGCGGTTTAAGGTGTTATTATACTTGTGTAGCTAAAATCAATATGTTTTTCTTTTTTGAAAATGTTTTTTTTTTTTTTTAAATGAAAACAGCAATAACTACCTAGCATATACACATTATTTCACGCCTGTGTCAGGAAAACGACATCTTGTCAGCTGTTATGAGTGCCAGTCATATACTATAAAGTAGATGGTGGATACATTCTCCAAAAAAAACATGACACTTTGAAACCAACAACAGCTTCCACCATTTACATATCAGTTTATATTCACAATCAAAAACAAATTAAAAGCAGAAATGGAAAGAAAAACAGTATCTACAACTGGTTACTCTTGAAATGTCTTTTGTCATCCAAATAGTAACTACTACTACTACTACTACTAATCACAGCAATAATCCAAACCTGCCTATAAAATAATAAACGTTATTTTACTCTCTTCCCCACAGAACCCCATCCCCAGCTTCCACCTGCCCGTGAACCTCTCCGACTGGTTTCCTCAGCAGCGAATGAGGACGAAGCGCGAGGAGATCAAAACAGCTGATACTGAAGATCAAAGAGCGACAGGAAGTGGACAGAAAGGAAGTTTCAGCTTCCCCTCGTTGTCCTGAAGTTCCCGAAACCCCACAGACTCCAAATGGTCCTCCAAATGTACCCATCAGCCCCTAAAACACCCCCCTCTCCTGAGCTTTCCCCCCCCAATTGTACGCTGCTAGTTTCCCCTCCTCCTCCTCCCCGTAGCTCCCGTTTCCCACAGACATTAAACACACCTTTAACTTTGTACTGATTAAAAGATGACGTGTAAATACGCCGGAGTTTCTCCCGCTGCCTTTGTAATTCATGAAGTGGCCCGTTAACTTATGTTTTCATAGATCGCCTCGTTATTTTGTATTGCTTTCTAGCCGCGTAGAGGACGATGAAGAAGAGGAAGAAGATGGAATAAAAGTTGATTTGTTTGTGAGTTTGGAAACTGTTCTCAGAGCCATCTGCGTTTTCAGTGCTTGTTGTGTCTCTTCGATGTGGACTGGAAACATTTTCAGCATTAAAAGCAACTCCAGATGCAAAGAGCTCTGCCTTTAGCTCTTTATTGTGTGTGTGTGTGTGTGTGTGTGTGTGTGTGTGTGTGTGTGTGTGTGTGTCATTAAATTCACATTTCAGATTAATATTTTGTTCAGATGTCATTAAATAAATATTTTAAGAATGCTCCAGAAGTCATCCCGAAAACATTGAAATTGAGATATTTTCAAAAAATATTGCAATATTTATTGTGTGTGTGAAATATCATTGCATAAGTGTATTTTTCCTCCTTGGTTTGAAATGTTGCATTTCAGTAAACAGATGCTATTTTCTATTTTTAAAAAGTCATTAAATCCACATTTCAGATTAATATTTTTTAATCATGGTATAAATATTTTAAGAAAGCTCCAAAAATCATCCCTAAAATATGGTTCCGATATTGACATTTGCTATTTTCAAAAAATATTATAATATTTATATATAATTCATATTGAGTGCATGTGTAGGCAGTTTGTAGTTTAAATAAAATAATTAAACGTTTTTCGTCGGTGAAGTGATTTTAAAGGCTTTAATTAATTATCTTTACCAATTAAAGGTGGGGTAGGTCATTTTGGAGAAACCAGCTCGAGCGCGCTAGAATTTGAAAAATCTGCTACTTCCTCACAGAGCCCCTCCTCCAACACACACGAACGCGCACATGACCAATGAGGGCACGAGATAAGTTTGTGCACAGATGGAAGGCTGACAGGCAGGTAGGCCATCCAGTTACTTTAGCCGGCTCAGATGATTGGTCGTGCTTTTTACAGCGCTACGGCTTCCACAGATGAATTTTTTTTATGGATTTTTTGTCAAAGCTCTTCAGATATTCATTGCCAGTAAAAATATTTTCAGTAAACAAAAGTGTGTGTGTGTGTGTGTGTGTGTGTGTGTGTGTGTGTGTGTGTGTGTGTGTGTGTGTGTGTGTGTGTGTGTGTGTGTGTGTGTGTGTGTGTGTGACACAGGAACCAATGGTTTCGAGTTGTTCAGAGACTCAATAAAAGGTTAAATGTTCAATCAGTAAAAACAATACGGACATTGCAAATGCTTTTTTTAAATAACAAATATATGATAGTATATATATAAATAAGAGATTGCATGTAAAGTATTTAAATATAACTAAATAAAGTAATAAAACCCTTTAAGTCCTGAACCCGGAGGCTCAACGTCTTCTTTCCCGAAAGCTTTGATTTAAATCTTAATTTTATCTCAAAAGGATTTACATTTAAAAGCCTATC